CTCCAGTTTCCATCAGCACTTGTATGTCGCCGTCAGCGGAATAGCAATCGCATCCACACGGACGAGAGAAGATATCGATACTATAGTTGAATGTATCTCTTATTTGTTTGTGCAGTATATGCGAGACATAACAGATTATGGACCAGCACCAAATGCTACGGAAACTGTTTATTAAACTGTAATCAGTTATACGGAATGCAAAAGCGAAAAGCCGGAAAGTTCCGCGAAACTCATTTTCTGTGAAAATCCTCTGCTGCCGAAAACTGGAATATGTCGGTATAAGTCAAATACAATCTATGCCGCAAGTTGTAATATTAGCCACGGACGTCCCATGTTTTTGCTGCTAGTAACAGATTTATTGTGTACTGGTAGAATTTTATATTAATGCATATGTATTTGTAGAAAGGGTGCTTTGATTAATAATGGAAATTACTTTATACACCAAAAAATGTCAGGGTAGTGTACAGTGTACACCATGGCGCAGTTCAAGTATTCGTGTCGTCAGTTACTCGTCCCGTATTTTTAAGCGCGTTTTTTACTAGTATTACTTTGCTTTTACAAAACATATCTAGGACATTTAAATCTATACGAAATGTCCGTACATGGATAAAAGACCAAAACCATCTAAATTAATCCTAGATCACAGGCTGATCTCAAGCAAAGCATTGATCATGCCACAACGTAAAGCGATTTGAAGAAGTCGATGTTACAGAAGAAGGTCACCAATCTAAAAGATTCTTCGTAATGAAAGCGTCTAAAACACCGGAAAAGTGTATTGACGCCAAAAACAGACCCCAGTGTATGCCTTATTGCTTCGTTCCTGTAGCTTGCGATAAGGTTCTGCTTTGCTGCTCGCTTCGCCAACCTGGCCACGAGAAAACAAATATGAAGGGATCCAAGCAGGAATGAATCAACTTTAGAGTACGCGTGCTTAAATACACCGTACGATTGGTGAGCAATACCGATCCAGCCGCATAAACAACATTACTAGGCGTCCAGCAGATGAGCACACTAATGGTCATGAGTGAAAGAACCAGAAACGACGCCGTTGACTGTTTGGAGATAGGATTACGATTGTTGCTAACGGTTACATTCACAGCCGTAGTAGCTCCCGCCCGATTATGATCAAGTATTTTTCGCCTTTTGAGCTTCGTCATAATGAAGTAAAGATAGCAAAGCATTATAACTACTTCCGGTAGCATATAAGCCAGGATGTTCTGAACCAATGGCCACTCAGCCTGGCTTCGAAAGCTACAGTGTGTGCTGTCTAACTGGTCAGGATATATTAGCGCATCCACGGTGGTGACAATGGCGGCAAAGACGACAGCCGCTAGGAGAGTGCTGAAGCATAAAACTTTGGCCAACCGTTTGGTGTGCTGATGGCGGTAGCTTAATGGTCTGGCCATGGCCCAGATCCGGCTAAGAGCGATAAACATATGGCATAACGGGACCAGCGGTGGAATGGCCGTAGCTAGATAGCGAAGACCGCTGCAAAATATTGGATGGTAGGCTTCCGGTACCACACTCTTACTGGCAAAGACGAACGGATTATACAGCAACACCGACATTATCACGTTGGTTAGCAGAAGAGCGATGACGTAGAATTGAAACGGTGTCAGCAAATTCCGGGTGCGATAATACAGGAACAGTAAGCCGCCGTTGCCGCATAAGGTTATGATACAAAATACCAAGCTAAGCCACTGTATCCATGTGAAGCCAAAAATCCCGTCGGATGACTGTCGCCACTGTGCTTGTGGGCTGCTGCTGTGATAACAACTATTGGAATTTATTTGGTCTGTGAAGTTATCCATTGCCGATACCATTGAAACTTCTCATAAGGCGTTAGGAATTTTCAGTATAACTGCCGAACACAATTCTGATCGCGCGCCGCCTAATGAATCGCTGAAAGAAAAGGTGCTACTAGTTTGAACTTTAATACGTAGATGATACGTACGTGGGACACCACCATATTATTAAAATTCCTGGTGATTAGCGGACTTATAGTCCGTGCTTCGTAATATCAGGCGCAGCCTAATGTAGTAAGACCGCTGACATTTCGAAGACATCCGTCAGTTTCGGATTTCTGTCCCTCATGCACGGATTAGTTCCGTCCGTGGTACGATGACTTGGTAAAGTAATCTACATAGAATCATGCATACGTGCACCTACTTACATTGGTGTTATATGCTGTAAATGTATCAAATGCTAACGGAATTTAAATTTAGCGGTCATGCATCGTGCTTGATCTGAAAAGCAATAATGCAATGCTAATTCCTTTCAGTATAAAAAAATCCCAGAACATAAATCTTCGCCTACAGCCTTAACATTAAAATAATTTCCGGCACTTTACATAATTAAATCTAAGCATGGTCATCGTACGCTCATCAACGTGGCCTTCGCTCGTTTGGCTTGTCTGTTTGTATAAAGCAGATCGCAGATTGTTTGTTACCTGACGTGCGATTGTCGCTGTAAATGGTTGGAATGTTTTTGTCCCATCTCAGTCCAGCATGCTAAAACTATGCTCACCGTATTAGCATGTTAAAGATGCGTGTTAAAGGTGAGATTTGCACCGGTATTCATTGTACTTGTTGAGAAACGCTATATTACACAAAATCTAGCGAATCACGGTATTCCACAGCAATTGCCATGGTTAGCATAACAAAGGAGACATCAAGGCAAGAATTTAATGACGTAAGGCAAAAACAGTACGAGTACAATAAAATGATTTATTTCGGATTTCGGATTCGTCTCTTCTACGTCGACCGGATAACCACATTGGATTCTTCAAGGTTCCAGAAAGGGATTCCAGAGTTTCCAGGATATAAGATTTCCACTCCGGGTTCTTCACTGCAGCAGATTGAGATACACAGTCACTCTACCGATGTTGTCGTGGTCGGTAGCGGCAATAAAAAGGTCAGTGTCGCAAAACCTTACTTATCGTTTGTGAACAGGAAAGCCACGGGACACGGATCGTATTCGTCTTGACGTATCGCCGTACTCTTTCCTATACACAACAGTACCGGTAAATATCCACACTCCTTAGCCGGGGCTCCAGCATGCTTGATATCAATCACTCCTGTCAATAACGGATGAGCGGTGATCTCGCCACATTAACTAAGTACTTAAATGTCGATCCAGTTACTAGTGTGCCCTTTGAGGATCGCAATCCAAACCTATGCACGTTTGTACTCGGTGTATTGACACTACGTCGCCATCGCATCCAACTGCAAATTTTCTGCAGGTGCATTTCTTCTGTTATAATTTCTAATCCATCTTGTATTTCTATCTCTAACAAAAAACTTTGAACAAGCGGACGAGGAACACTCATATATACGAATACGGAAAATGGGAACAGAAGAGTGTCATGACCAGACACTATGTGTCAGTAAATTGATGCGACCATTACTTTTCTTACTCAATGTGGCTGGTTGCGGATCGTTTCATCACTGGAAGAAGCAACCTTCCACAGTTAAATTACATTGTGTAGCAGCTTTATGTTGGATAATCTGGACTTTGGTGATCATTGCTTATTATTGCGTTGCTCTCGTTTTCCAAGTGTATGTTAAATTCCGCCAAACTCGCTCGTCGTCGGAGGCTGGCGATCTTATTGCCTTTTGGACCGATGTTGCACGCAGTACAGCGCGTCTCATATGTCCCTTGTACTTCTACCACATCTATGGGCGTTTTACAGAAGCAGTCTCAACTTTAAACCCACATTTTGCTTCGTACCTTAATAAGAGCGATATAAAACAGATTTCTGTTTTTGTTTGTATCATCTGCATGCTGCCCTTTACTGCTGACAGCTACTACTTAGCCACCATTTGGAACGACAACAGCGAAATCTTCCAACGGCAGCTTGGTGTTTTGCTCCATTTGCCAGTCAGCCGGCAGACGACAGGAGTTCTCTACGCTTGTCTTATGACGCTCCACTGTATAGCAGAGCTAGCGTTCCATGCGATGCAGTACCTATCGACGATTATCTGTTTTGCGACCGGGCGGTGTTTTTTACAGATACACCACGCGCTAATCAAAGCGGATAATCGCGCAAGTGAAATGGATCTCGTAGTGAATGACCACTTTCGTCTCTCCCGGTGTATAAGCAAAATCAATCGGCTTCTGTCGTTGGTCATGCTATTATTGTATCTGTATGACTTTTGCACGATTCTGAACTACATTAACCGGTTTACATTTGGACGGGAATTACATTGGCCAAATTTGGCGCTTGCGTGCTTTTCGCTGGTGGTACGAACGTGGCTTTACGTTTACATGTTTGAAAAGGTAGCTTGCAGCTTCTGTACTGTGCGGTTTGGCAACCCATAAATGTAAATCTAATCTTTAGTTTGCTATTAATTTTAAACTCTTTTATTGATGTACAGTATTATATTCCGTTGCCTAATCACTGCAACAGAATTACAAATAAGATTTTACAACATTATTTAAAATTGTTTAGGCCGAACTGGTAAAGGAGTGCTTAGAGGGAATGGCTTGCCGGCAGCACCGCGGTGAACAAAGCAATTTAATACAGTCCCTGATCAACAAGGCCAATTCCGTTTCCGCTGCACTGGATCTCCAAGGATTCGTCACCGTTAACCGTGCCTTTGTTACCACGGTAAACAGTATGCTTGGCCTATGAGCTCCCCAAGGTTTTCTGGCTCATGGTATTTTTTTTCTTGCAGCTAACGGCCAGCATAATCACGTATGCCTTGGTGTTGGATCAGCTAGATAGTCAGACCATTACCAAGGAGGATATGGTGGCATTGCTTCGAAATATAACATGGAAATATCAATATCAACTGCATTAGACCAAACGGGAGTTACAACACCGCTTCGTTCTTTAAACACCAGGGATATTTTTAAATAGAGGTTGTCCTGCTTTCCGCTTACACATAATATTAGGAAGCATCCGTAATGTTAATGAGAGAAGACAACAAACGGTTTTTTGGAAATGCTTTTTTGCTATACATTTTTATACTTGTGAATTGTTCGCAACCGTGTACGGGTTTCGACGAACCAAATTAATTTTGTTAATCACCACATGTACGAGAAAATGCAAACATATTGCTGTTGTAGGAATATTTAGAGCGTGATAACGTAAACGAGCGAAAGCAGTTAACATGGCCAAAGCATATGACACAGAGCATTTTGCACACACCACCGATCCTTTCGCATCGGATCGATGCTCCATTTTATTGCCACCACCCCGCTTGGGGTTCATACTGCACCCGGCGTCACAATCCATTCAGTCCCGGATGTAAACAGCTCGACGTCTTCACATCGGCATACTGCATGAGCGACTGCGGGAACGGCGTGGTCTGGTTGATGTGATTCTGCGGGTTCATGTGGTTGAAGCGCAGCGCCGACAGGCTCTTGTTGTACCAATCCAGTCCGGCATCGTCGGCCTCCGTGCCGCCGTCCGAGGAGCGCATCATGCCCATATTGGTCAGGCCGGCAGTGTTGTTGGGCATACTGCTAAACTGTCCACTGCTGGCCGCCGCCGCGTTGTACACCGACTGCGGTGAGGGGACCGAGGCGAAGCGGCCCATAGGGGCGCTGCTGTGCGGGTGCTGGTAGGGCGCGTAGGGGTTGGCGCGGGCGGCGGCCACGTTGGCGGCGGCGTAGAAGTTGCGCATGGGGTTGCTGGTGGGGCATACCATGTTGCTGGCCACGCTCAGGGTCTTCTGCATTTGTTTCTCTTGTTTGCGGTATTTGGCCCGACGATTCTGGAACCATACCTGCAAAAATATCGATCAATAAGCAGCGTATTAAACCGTAAACGATTAGCAATGCACTTAGCGGAAGGAGTATATGTTCATACAAAAGGTGTATCGTGTACAAAAATAATCGGCTTCAGGTGTATCGGCTTCAGGTGTATCGGCTTCAGGTGTATCGTGTACAAAAATAAATTCTTTTATTCTGTATACTCAGTAGTGGTAGGAAAGGTACAGCTAAAGATGTCTTATCGACTACAGCGGCAGTTGATCATCTCGACTGTCGACGCAAAGCAAAGGGGACTCTGCTAATTAGCACCGAAGCAACGAATTATGTAGTAAGTGCTTCTTGAAGAACGGACTATGCGAGGTTTCGGTAATTCACATCTGTCAAACTACGAACCTCGAAAAAACGAGGACTGCTTTAGCCTGCTTGGATAATATCCGTGCAGGTGGTGATACATGCCACCGCATCCGGTGCTAGTAACTCCGCTGACCGATCCGGAGTATGCAGCTATTTTGCTGATAACGGCCTTACAACTGCGGAAGGGAATGTTTAAGAGCGAGCCTTTGTATTTACGCCCGAACTCTGAAGAAAACACTTGAAAGTGCGGCGATATAGAAATACTCGTGACTACAAATCATAGCATAACCAGTGACATGGCGGTACATAATATGTTAAAGTATGATAAATGTACTTTACTCGTATATTTTGTATGTATAAGAAATCTCAAAGCCACCGTAACGGCACATATCTGAAGCAAGCGGCACAGCTGGATTCTTAATTTTGAAGACTCGCAGGATCTGCAGACGGATGGAATCAAGATATCTCCTAACTGTTCAGGAAGCCAAAAGTATAAGTTTAACACATTAAACAAAATGTCTCATATTTTCATGTCACCGTGTTCTGTGAGGTGACAGCAAACGCAAAATGTGATTTCTTTATTGAAGTATTACAAATGACTTATTGAAATAACTCTTTTATAAAATGAGGCAACGCAACGATTCCCGCGACGGTTGTTTATAGAATGCATAGATTATTTTCAAAATTCCTTTGCAAAAATTTTTCTACGTCTTATCGAAAGTGCATTATGCATTGTAGTAAGTAACATAAAACTAGGAATTTTTCTTTTGAACTGCTTCCACGCGTTTCCTTTACCACCCTAAAAACTATTTTACATGGAACCTTCGGGCATAGATTGTGTTGATACTGGGCTTGCTTTGTCCTGACATGTCAGCGAAATCTGAGTAATATAGCAGTAAAAGGGGATAAAAATATTTTGATACCTGCATTTTTCCAGAATTTTATCAAAAACTGAGAATTTGATTATGCCTGGCATAACCGTGAAGTTTCATAGATGTTAATGGAAACTTCAATTCACACATACCGATGTTCAAGAATAAAAAAGTTTTATGGTACAAAAATACTGAGTTAAGAAGAAACATCAATAATGCAGTGAATGTTTTCTTAATTAACCTACAAGAAGTGATAATAAGAAGGTTAGAGAGGTAAGTGTACGTTTATGATGAGGCACTACAGAAATAAATTTCTTGCTGGCACGGCGATAATATAATTATTCCGTTAAAGGGTTTCTTTATTTAAAAGTTTTAATTGCAATGTAACTCAATAATTCAGTCATTCAACATTCAAGAATCTGAGCGCATGACAATGCCGTGGCTGACATGCTAATATCATGGCACCAAGTGAAATTCCCTGAGCACCGGCCGCACCAGAGAGCGCGAATAGCTTGGAATCGGATCGGGATTAACCCCTACTGCGCTGCATCGTAGCGCGCTCAAGCACAAACTTTGTGCTATACATTGTATGCACCACTACAGTACCTTATAAGTTGTACTTTTAATTAACTGAAACAAGGTAAAAAAGCGTTTGGTTTCGCTTAAAGATTCGCAATGAATCTTAAAAATTTACAGCAGTGTTATCCTGTACGTTAACCGAGCACACACACATATACTGTAAGCACAAGTGGATTTCACTCATTTGCTGTCTCCAGTTTATGTACATTTCGGTTGCTAAAATAAAAGAATGACCTCTCTGACACAGTGTCTACAACGTCGCGGTTAAACGCAAATTTAAGCTAACAAATCGTAAAATTAATAGCCAAATCACCTAATCGCAGCACATAGGTAAGCATATCTAACAAGCATGTTGTTCCCTGAAACCAAAATATAAGATAAGCGTACTCGTATTTCTTTGTATCTGTCAGTGCGATATCTGTACAATTACTTTATTCTTCGATGCCAATGTTTTATGTTTTTCGGTACCATACATACCTTATCAGGATAAATGCATTAACACACACGTAATATATGAGGTGAATAGATCCCTACATCCTCAAAGGTCACTGGCATATATCAGCCATGATCGCGCTGTGGTTACAAGGCAACAGATTCCCCATACAACAAATATGGTCCACGACATCGTCGGCCATGATGACGCTAATCATCGTTATACAAAAAGCATATCCAACGCCGCCATGATTTTTATGAAATTACAAGCTTGCAGATTGCCCAGCAACTGGATTGTGCCAGCAGCAAGCGCAGGCGCCAACTGCCGCACTATACTTTTCCAACAAGCTCGATATATATATGCGGGTATGATGTGCAGTAACATCACAACACAGCAAGCCGGAATTCATTTTACTGCTGCCCCAATGTAAATTGGATTTTGTATAATTAATCTAATTTCGTCGGTCGCGGTACCCGTTGCCTATTCTGCGCGGTGCCAGCCCCGGCAAAATTATGTCCTGTCGTTTTCTATTACGCTAATCAACGGTGTTGTGGTGGAGGCGGCTGTTAGGTAATTGTACGCAATTTCCAGCCACGGCGTCTAATTGGTTTAGACGACGCCGTGCTGCCGTTGACAAAAAACAGACACACCATTCTCCCACTAACCTGAATTCGCGCCTCGTTCAATTTCGTAATCCGCGCCAACTCCTCTCGACAATAGATGTCCGGATAATGGCTCTTGGCAAAGGCATTCTCCAGCTCCAACAGTTGCTCTTGCGTAAAGGTCGTCCGGTGACGACGGCGTGCCGGGGTCATGGCACCGGCCGCGGCCGCTGCCGACGTTAGTGAGGATACGGATGAGGTCGGGGATAGTCCGTTGCCGACGGTGCGCAATTTCTTAAACGCTCCTTCACCACCTGTGCAAACCCAAACTCCACTAACTTTAGGATCTTCAGCTAAATCGAATAATGATGTTTACCGGTAGTGTCGTGGAAGAGTTTACTATCCTTGCGCTGATTCTGCCTGGCCCGAATTCCTTCATCCGCCATGGCTAATTGGCATGGTTGTTTATAAGCGGATGTTGTTATATTCGCGTGCTATGTGTCGATGGGCTAATTCGATGCGTTACAATGCAGCCAAGCCGAAATTGCTGACAGAGATTCAATTAAAAATGTGCATCTAAGTGCGGCGACTGCGTAAATCGGATATATAATGCGGTTCAGGTTCACTTGTGTGTGTTTACCACGGGCTGCTGCGTTTGTGTGGCGCTGTGTGTACGCGCGCTGTGTTTGGTGACTGACACGAGAGTGAGTGCGGCCAATCAACGACGGGCAATTGCGTTAGCCGGCTGTGCCACTCTCCATCAAGTCAACCGCACAGTATTCTGTATATCTGCTGCTGACAACGGCTGCCCCGCGGATATGTAGTGGGCACACCGCTCTACTCTCCATCACCCGGGATGTACGGGGGCCACATTATGGATGCGCTGTTGTGTACGAAATATTGATTACGGAAATTCAGGTCCCGCGGGGCACAGCATTGTTCAGCAGCGCAATTTGTGGTAATACACAGACGGAAGAATAGCGCGACAAATTGCTGCACATGGTCGCATTTCAATGCTGCTTGCAAATTCATGGTATGAGCAGTGACCTTTTTTCCACGGTTATTTTTTGCCGTGATATAGAGTTTGCGCAAGCTTAACGAGTTTCCCTGTAAGGTTATTTAGTACAATGGCAATGCTCCAGAGATTATAATTACTGTACTACTTTAATTTTTTTATTGATGGAATGATGCGAGCATTTGTTCGTACACATACTCTTGCATGGAGCTATTAATAATACGTTAATATCTTATTATTTATGTTAATATTTATTACTCCCGACAAGATTTGTTATTAAACTGTGCAAGCTTTTTGTAACGAATTATAGTGAGTTTTCAAAACGCAAATATGTATGAGCTCTTTAAAGCCGACTGCACTACTATTAAGCCTGTACAGAGTACAATACAGTAAATAGCATACGGTACATTTAAAATAAAGATTTTGTTTTTTTTCGTTCAGAATTGTTATTTTGTTCTTGTTTTCACGGGTTGCATCCGCCTAAAGGTTTTCACTCCCAACATCATGTGGTTATTTTTCAGTTCAGGGTGACATATCATGGTTTATTAATGTGACAACAATAATAATTTTGTTAAATCTGTTAGTCACAAGTGGTAAGTTTAAATTATTAGCGCGGAAAAAGATTTAAATACACTTGCACTACCGCTTGGACAATCAATACAAATAAGCCATCCATTCAGTAAAAACGGTTCCTGATTGACTGGCATTCGTTAATTGATTGCCCGGGCTTAGTCGATAATCTAAAACGCGATAAGAGGATCGCTCGGTCGCAATGAATCGTGCGGTGGATATCAATCAAGCGTTCCGTACATGACTGCATATGTATCCATTTGTGATTTTGGACATGATGATAAAATCCCGTCAGTGGCGCAATCGCGCATCGATCCACGTAGCAGTACAATAGCGCAATTTGGTGACACATACAGATAGTGCCCAGTTTGCTGGGATGGAGAATTGAACGGGCAACATGTGTGCGCGTTAGCGGGGGAATTTGTCGCGGGGGTGCATCACAGCGGGAGCACACCCATACTTTCCCTGACCATTCCCCTGGAGGATAGTCTTTTAAAGTCAGCACCCAGTCAATCATGCAGATCCGGCCCGGGCGCAGTGTGCGGCACATATGAGACATGTCACTGCATGCTAATTACCCTGTCAATGGACTGCTAATGCACTGGCCACAACGGCTCAAGCAGCGACACAACTGCACATGCTACTCCACTTTGCCAAACCAGCACAACAACCGTAGTCAATCACCAGCCGATCGATCAGACTACTACTTTAGTTACGTATAACTTTGTTTTTTTAAGGTGCGAAAGATTACAAGCTTTGTCACATAAAACGGCTCAATTTTAAAAATATAGATACATATTAGTTAAATACAGATTTACATAGATGCAATATAAATTTAAGTTTTATTGATTAAAACTTTTTTTACTTGCTTTATGTGGAGTTTGTACGAGTTTTTATCTATCTTCAATATACTCGAATACCTCCTAAATCCTTGCTAGGAATCCATACATTTGAGAACATGCGAATACATATGCAACATACAGATGTGTGTACATGGTAGTATACTACACTATAAATAATTATTGCTTTCAGCCGTAATCTAGGTAAATGTTTAATTATGCACGTAAGAGCTAGCAGTATCTGTACACCACGCAATTGTATACACTATTCTGCCTAACGTCTGCAATACATCGTGCAGTTTGCGAGCGTTTATGATTGCTCAGTGTGATACATTAAATTACTGTAATATTTAACATCATATTAACCCTTAGTAACGATTTTGGTTCATGACTTTATTGGCAAAATCCATGCCACAAAACACAAATTCGAAGAAAAAAAACATGCTAAACTATAACAGAAAAATTTTGGTTGTTACCCTTTAGTTGTAACCCTTTAGAAAATATTTTGGTTTGGTTTTCATAATTTATATTGCCTTGGAAAGACCAGTGGTAATGAATACGGGTAGGTATGAACAATTACCGACTATCAAATTCGTGAGATGCGGGTTGAAGTGTTATGCAGTTGCTACCAAGCAAGAACATGATTATGTTCTCCTGCAATTCCTGCTTACTTAATTTTACAAAATTAATCTGTATAAACTTTGTATATCATTCATCATTTTATCATTTGATCATTAAAAGAAGAAAACGCACTACGATAATGAACTATGATAATGAACTTTAATCACCGCTGCCCAAGTGCGCGTTGGTGTGTTAATGGACTTCCAAAAAAGCTAAAATATTGTGAAGCATATCCTTACATTTTGCCTTACAACAAGGCCCATAAGCGCACAACTACATTATTATACTGTAAAATGTAATTCTACAGTTATAGCGCTGGTATTAATTACTGCTTGGTGTCGGTTAAACTGACGCAATTTTTGTTTGTAGTTTTAAAGTTTAACTTTAATATTCACCAGTAAGTGGTCTTTAGTTTAATATTCATTTTATGCCGGTCTGTGAGCACTGTAAGGTGCACTCCCGGTCGGACTGTGTATCACCTGGGTCAACTATAAAGTAATATCAAGATAGAGACTTCCTACAAACAAAACGTTTATGTTCGCTGGTTGCGTAACTCTTACGAGCTGCGGAAATGTCGCGTATCGTGTTAAGTAATTTGATTCGCAAGGGAAGACTGCACCCGTCGACGAATGGCGGTCTTTTGTAACAAACGCCCTTGGAACGTGCTCCGCTCGAAATTTCACGCTGACTTCCTGCGCAGAGGGAAAACTCGATCCGAACCTTGAAAGCAACGGTAAACACCGAACAAACTCTCACCAAAGACTGGAAATTCCATGCACATTGCCGCCCGTTACACCTGCTGATCATCGCGTCAAATCTTCAAAATCTTTAAATGGCCAGAATGTGTAACACAAAAACTTCCCCATGGTTTTTTGGTGACCGCAAAATGACCACCAATGGAAAGGGATATTTGGAGACCGTGTTCACCTTTTGGTTGTATCTGCTACAGGTGAGCGGTATGGGATGCGTATTCCATTGCTCCTCATCGAAACCGCACTGGATCATCCGTATTCTTCACTGCTTGTGGGCGCTACTGATCGCTTTCCTCCAGATTGTAACCGCCACGGAGACCATCGTGTATGTGTGGAGCAAAACGACACCGCAGCTGGAATCCATTGTGGAGTTCGCATGTCAACTGCAGCGCATGATTGCGGTTGCCGTTGGCTTCATTTATTACATTTGCATCTTTAACAAATTAGTTAAACACCTTCGCAAGCTGGACCATTTTGTGCGTCAAGAATTTCACCTGGTAGATAAGGTCATTGTGGTGTTCTACGCTATCTGCGGCACCGGCATTTCTCTAGGATTTATAATGCACAGTGTGTATGGGACACTGAAGTATCCCTATACTATTTCGTTTTATGAGATTTTTGTCGGATTAATCGTAAAAAAATTGCTTCTAACAAAAGTCATCTGTTATTTATTGCTGGTCTCGGATTGGACGGCGGAACTGGCGAGTTATCTGATGAGATTTCTAATTGGTGCGCTGTGCCTGGTGATAGCTCTGTGCTTCCGGCGGATTCGTGGTCGGATGAAGGAAATCTTAGCAGAAACACAGTCCCTCGTTCCTTCGGTATATGAGCATGCGGATCTCTGTGACAATGTTGCCGAAATGGAGAAAGAACTGAATGTGCTTCTGTTCATACAGTATGCATTGTATACTCTGAATATTCTCAACATTATCACCCAATGGCGAAATGGCAACTCGAGACATCTGCTCGATCTAGTGGAGACGGTACTATTTATGTCCGTTTCCACAGTATTTTTCGTTGGCGTGCATGAGACGGTAAACAGTGTTTAGTAAAAAGGTTTTGTTGCATGCGCTGCCAAAGGGTGTGATAATATGACGCATTTGATGTAGGCTTCGGAAGCAATGACGCAAATGGAGCGAGGTCTTCGCGCGAACGCTCAGTCCAATGTCCAACAGATCTTCATGCATTTGAACAGACTAACATTAAGACCAGTTTCGTTTTCCGTTGGAGGATTCTTCCCGATAAATCGGGCTTTTATTGCGACGGTAAATAAATCAAATTATTTTTGTTGTAAATACTGTATGTAATTTATGTTTAAGTCATTCTAATGCGCCAGGAAATTTTCGAGCACTTTAATTATTTTTGGTGGTTGATTTCTACGAGTATATGTCAAAATTTATTTGCTTATTGTCGCTAGAATGCTTGCTTAGAATGCGACAAATTTATTTGCCTATTGTCGCCAAAATGTCGCTAGAACTACCGTACTGTTGCGATATCACTTGTGGTCATTTACCGAACTCTGCTTCCTTTCAGCTTTTTGGTGGTATCGCGGCGTATGCAATCGTTATCTGGGAGCTGGGCGACAAAGGCATATCCAATAGCGATATTGAAAAAATTTCCGATCTAATTACCGCTCGATTCTTGCATGGGCATAATATCTCGAATCTCACTTTACCATAATCCCCAATATATTCCGAACATTCTTCAGTGCCAGTTATGCTTCGCTTGCTTTGCTATTTGTTTTATTCGTTTTCGCATTTAACAGAATGCAGTCTACTGTAGCAGGAGAGACTGCTGAACGTCTAACCATGTATCACAGGCAACAGTGGTAATGCTAGTACAGCATGATGTTCAAAATTGTTAAAAATCATCTTAAAAGAAAAAAACCTGAGGAGAACTATTTACCTCACGATGTAATAATATCTTCCATGAGACTGTTCGATGCTGCATAATATCCACAGTTCCGAGTACTCACTTCCCTTGTGGATCCTTAATAGTTAGTCGAATTGAAAGTTCCATGAGTGTGAAATATTTCTATGATTTCACTCTTCGTCACACCTTTGCTTTGCAGTTGGTCTATGAGCAATGCAAAGGTCACAATTCCTCGTGCAAATTAAAAATCAAAGCGTAATATTAGAGTGGTGAATAAATGAGTTCACTAATAAGTGCTGCAGCGTCATTCCGCTAACTAAACGCAACTCCGGAATCTAGAAGCGGATGTCTTAAGCTGCAACAAGCCTACCGTTGCTACGAATTGTCACTCGATTGCGAAAAGCCCTCCGACCCCCGAAAAGGCCAAATTCACTGCCCTGGCACGTTGGATCAGGAAATGCATCGGCGAACGCTCCTCACGCGTCATGCGGTGAGCCATAACGTGCAAGTGCTCTTTTAATGTCTCGGCCTATGACCATACAGCAGATTATCGATTTGCATTTATAAGATAATATACGGCAATTACATCTTTAAATCTAATGGCAATAATGTTAAAATAAATAAATGGTGCATGTGCGGTTGTACCTGGTTTTTGAAACAATGGGCGTGTGGAGTAAAGAATCTAAATGCAAGATGTTTACGCTCGGTAAGATGCTTTTCGAGAGGACACAGGAGAAACGGTCCACTCTATTTCTGAAGCAGAGAATTAGCATAGCTTTGATGCGTGGTAACGCTGCTTGTGTTCAGGAAACGTTCTGTATTGGTAAGAGATTGGACGAAGTGTACTATGTGCTAAAATGATGTGACGCGTAATATTGTTTCTATCCTATGTTCACTCCAATAACCCAATAAAGTACCCTGCTCGTATCCATAAACGAACTGCCAAAGTCCCGCTACTGTCAGTACAGCCACAATGATTATTCCATCTATGCCCACATGCATTCGAGACTGTCAGTAGACTCAGTACAGCCACAATGATTATTCCATCTATGCCCACATGCATTCGAGACTGTCAGTAGACTCAGTACAGCCACAATGATTATTCCATCTATGCCCATATGCATTCGAGACTGCAGATAATTCGGACCCCAACGGAATGTGGCGAAAGGTCAAACGACTCCACAACGCTTTGACTGAAACCTTCAGAGCGCGATAGGAATGTCTGAGCATGAGAAGTGGCAAACCCAATCGATGTTAGACACGCAATAATGTTGAATATGCTGATTAATTTTCTATCGACGCTCTGGGAATGTCGTTCGACATAGTCATCCAGTTGATGAATATTCTGGATATGTTGCTTATACACCCAGTGTACGCTGCAGACGGACAAAAATACCGTTACCGTTCTCTGCCAGGTTGTAAGGAACGATAGCAACGCTCCGTTGTCCACTGGACGCACTGCATAACTCCGTACTCGATCGTACAATGTGTAGACAATGCATGCGCCATACGTTGCCAGCAGCAAAACTGCCCCGAAATGGTGCAGATATTTTCCTAGTATGCGAGAACGTCCAGAATATCGCGGAAATGGCAAAGCGCCGAAACCGGCAAGAGAGAAGATAATAATCCATGGTTGCATTAGCTGATTAGTCACCATTTTTAACGTACAGTATCTCGTGATCATGCTACGATGAAAGCCACGCAAAAGGTAAAAGTTTGACTTAATTAAGTACTTGCACAGAGTACCAAGTAAAAGAAAGCGAATGAAGCGATCCTCCTATTCGCTGTCTCTGCTTCGAGAAATCATGTACCAACTACCACGATTACTACGTAGTATCGTAGTATACTACGATACTACGCTTTTGTACTACGATTTTGTAATAAGCTGAACTTTCAAGCACGACTATGAAAACATCCAGAATGTTGAATAGGGTGATTATAGGCGGTATTGGCTAAGGTGCTTGAAACAATTGGGTAAATACTGATCGGTGCCGGTAAGATCAACTTATTCGAAAGTGATAACGAACTGAGAACTTACTTAGGTGCAAAATGATTACAAACCCAAGTGCGAGAACGTCGTACCGCATTTACGGCGTACAAATATGACAGGTGCCGCAGGAGCACCCGACAGTGCTGACAGTAGTGAATCTACTATTTAACATGCACTGTGGCAATTTATTCTGCTCCTATACAGAGCAGTTACGAAAGAATTATTGACAGATTTGCAACACAGAAAACAATGTGACTAATTGAATTTACACGGTTCCATCTGTCGCCCCATAACTTCTAAAAACTACACAAACCCGATGTCACAGTAGCGGTTAGACTGCTATGGACGCATTCATCCATTATACGTATTACTCGTAGCTTCAGAAGTGATTGGAAATTTTACAAAGAAGAACAATTACTGTACATATATATTGCTTTGGAGGATTAGACTCTTGCTTCGATTGTGCTCAGATTAGTGATGCCAAGGTTCTGTAGAAGAGCGGACAAGTGGTAAACGGAAACGCTTTTGGCCTCAAGCTGATCCATCACCAGAGCGAAGGTTAAAATCGCACCAGCCAGCTACACCACCATCAATCTTTATACGATCAGGAATTGTAGTACTATCAGTTTTAATGTCAATATCTTTGGAAATAATTTAACAAACTATAAAGCCTATGTGTAACTGTATTTGAGCACATCTGCACTAAGTATTAAGGGTATGGATCTTTCTGTAGTTCAACTTTACCGTGGCGATAAATGTTCGGTCCACAGTGAAGAAGCCGCCCAAACTGAAAGCAATGCTGACCGAAGTGACACGTTTGATAGCGAAATGTAGAGACAACCGCTCATCCGGTGGCGCTTGGTAGATGATATCAGGCAGTAGATTGCTTATTTCTGCCGACTGTAAATAGTTGTTAGTCCTTTTAGTGTTTTCCGAATTCAGCAAGACCTTAACATAAAACTGGAGTAAACGTATTACTGTCTCTGTTAGAAAATCGTGTTTGCGTGTATTATTAGTTCGAAGATTTAGAGAAAGCTAACTGTAAACAGTTTCATTCCAGCTTCATGTGCGCAAAAGACGGAGTGATTCAGAGATCAATGTCTAGAAATGTATAGCTGCAATTGACGAATGTTAGCATTGTATGATCTTTGTTGCACTGTGGTAGATAATACTACGGCTTTAGCACATTCTCCAGCAGGCAGTTTTCCAAAAAGTTATGACAGTAAATGAATTCATACCTTTTCGTGCGCATAGATGAACGCGTGAGTGCCGGCAACGGTCAGCAAAGGCATGATGAAAATACTTTCAGGATTAACATAAACTCCGGTCTTCATTCTCGTAATGTAATTCAGAATCGTGCAGACTCTGTAAACGTATACAAACAGGATACTACATGACAGAAGACTGTTCATCGTCTGTAGCCGCTGACTAAGCTGATAATGGTCGTTGAGGAGCGGATCCACATCTTTTAATTCATACGGCACTTTCGCCAGCCTTTTACTAATTTGTCGATAGCATCTTCCACCAACAAAACAGACGATCATAGGTAAGGTTTGAATTAGGATGAAAAGGGCGTCCATGAACCACTGCGAGAACGAACAGAGATTCGCTAGAAACTGCGCAATATGAGTTGCCGGTATAACGTGCAGAAATCGGGCAATGTCGCGCTCAAAAGCCTTTGTGTCTTGACGGAAGCAGAGCGCCCACATGTGAAGGGCAATAATCGTCAGAGAACATGCAAACGTTAGCACCGCGAAGATACCAGCGTATTGCCGGTCTCTGTCCTTTAGATAGCGTGTTAGAAAGCTATCGATCTGCTTTACATTTTCGATGTACTGGACATAGACAAAATGGAAGTACACAATGCACGACAACGTCGTCACCATACGCATTACATTGGTGACCATGATAAAGAAATCTTCGTTGTCTGGTGTGAGATTAGCTTGTAGTTCAGCATACAGGGTGCAGGCTAAGTCAAACGAAAATAGCAGCATCAAAACGAACATCCACGATGTTCGCGAAATATTGAATATCTGCTTTGTTTTGGATGGATTTTTATACATCTGGAGCGGAAAGGCCCCAAACCCGGCCGTGTGCAGCATAAAGATCCATGGCTGGATCAGCTTTTCCAGGAACGTCAAATGGCTCAGATTATGCACTAAAAAGCTTTTTAGTGACATTTCCAAATACTTTAAATAGTAATTTTTTGATGAATATCTAACGTACTACAACTGACGATGAGAACACTAATGTGATTTAAATCTTGTCCGTTACACTGCAGATATGTCTTCAGTTTAGCGGCTACGATTTCGATTACTTATTTCCCATTCCCTTTGTGTGCAATTTCAGGCTATGAAATGTTTTCCTCTGTTTTTCTAACATGAAATGTACGAAGTAGTCAGCAATTTTGATGTTTTCAGAATGCATCGAACATTATTCCCAAAAGACCGGTGGATTTATTCTAGCGTAATAAGAGAGCCGCTGCTTTGCACACGCATCGCCGTCTACGTCAGACTATATGTTAAATAATTAATTTACATGTATTCTTTATATTTTCGGTTAGAACATCTCCTCTCGGAATTATTGTTTATTAAGTGACGGAACATGGCTTCATGGCCGCGTAAGTTGGAGAAACATCTAGGGTCAACAGTGCCGCTTGAATGGCGACGAGCCTATTCGGACGCCGTATTGTAAACGATACGAGACTTGTCATTCAATGCCATAAGGACCAAAATGTATCCAAAAATGGAACAACCAATCTGAAAAAATTACAGATTCTTGAACACTTTGCTGCCCTTTGCTGACTGAAAGTCTGAAATGTGGCATTTTGATGCCGTACTTTCCCAATAACAAAGTATGAGCATTCGCCGGGATGTGCAAGAGTTCACCTACACAAGCAAGCTTATCGCGGTTGATGCACAATCCTGCTAGTGTCACTTGGGGTTCCATTGCGATGACTCGTTGTAGATGGCGCTCTACGGATCGGGAAACATCTGTCGGGGGTTTTTGAAATGTTAAGATGTGATGCAGGAATCTGACGACATCTTGTTCCTATAAAACTGCTGTGTAGTGTGTGCAATACGTATTGTTTAGTGTGTGCCATACGTACTTAACGTAGCTATCCGACAAATCGTATATACGCATTTTTGGTTCATGTTTCTTAATGGATTATTAATGGATTTCAGTACGATCGAGACTCTTACCTGCTCATTGACATACAATACAGATAGCAGCTGTACAATCCCCATCACAGCACTGCACACTGAGAAGAGCACTGCCGCTACATCAACTTCTTTGCTCTGCACAATGCGGTCGAGAAACACTTGCAAAAATCCCATCGTAATAAGAAGACTCTCAGCCAATGTCATAATATTCAGCCAAGAGAAATGTTCGTCGTATTGGCACAATCTATGACAGACTTCGTAATGCACAGCCAGCGCCTCTCGCAATGTTTTGCAATAATCACTCCGATATAAACTCAGCGAATCAATATGCTGTTGAATTGCAGCTAACTGCAGCCCTTCCATAAAAGGATGCACAATAAGAACACACTGGACAATTCGGAAACCGATGACGCCCATCTCGTATAATACGTGCATACATAACGAAAGCGATTGAGCTAAAACACCTAGCTTGTTAAATGTATCGTCAAGCCGGTCAAGGATCCAGCGATCGTTGATAAGAAGAATTAATTTCGATACTAAAATCTCTCCTGGACCGATTACGAATACAAACAACGCTAATGCCGTAATTTGGACAACATGTAGCGGTTTTACTAACGAAGAGAAAGATGCTAGCATGGCCGTGCTGTTAAGCAGCAGCAATGTGCCACTGCGCCATATCTGCAGAGCGCACACTAGCCGAATTAAGGGGAATGACAATATGGGCAACCAAATCATCGCCCGGGAAATACTCCGGCCCAGGATGAATATATAGACGCTGTCAATGGTGAAAAATGCGTTGGCTGTACACTGGGATAATACGTAGAGTGTCATTGCAGATCGTATTGTGAGAGCAATAGGAAAAGATTTGGTCAACTTGAAAACTGGGAAGCAAAAATACCCACATATATGCATTCCGTAAAAGAAGAGTAAATTTTGCCATCGAAGAATTTTTATTAATAATGCCGATCGGTCCGTCACCATTTTATGCGATGTCCTGATGGCCCAGTGATGGGTAACATATTCGACACAAAAATGAGGAAAAAGCCAGCATACGACTGGGGACAATATGGTTGATGACGGTCTGTTCTCAATAAAAAAGGGGTATCGACTTTCTGTTAGCTTTGCGGAGATTAGAAGAAGCCGGCATGTTTGCTTTGTGCTGCTTTCTCGTTGTAAATTTGTTCATTCAGTATTTGACAGGTTTAAAGTGATCCAGTGAACAATTTCAGTCGAAAACCTCTTACCTTTCCTGTACTTCTAACTAGTGTCCTTGAATTACAGTAAAACCTTCCTGATACGTACACTCTTATGTACGTACACCCTCTGTATTAAATACACCAAAACGTTAACCAAAATTACTGTAAACTGCAAAATACACCTCTGAGTAAAGATTCAGTTCCTACTAGTAAGTACAGTGTTAAGTGCCGTTCTTACTTAAAACCTGTCGCATGAAACAAGGCTGAATGCCCCATTTCCTTCTTGTTGCATGATTTGACTAAATAAAAGTTTCTTAACATTTTAACAGATTTGCAGATATCCGCCAATGCTCTAACCGCATCAAAAATTTAAGCGTGGACTATAGTTTCAGATCTGCACGTATATAAGCGCGCGGCGTGCCTCAAGGCGGCATCAAGAAACATGATGGTAGCTGGTTGTTTACTTCGTACATTGATACAAAATTCTTTCAAAAGAAGCTACTAAGTAGCTTCTTATTAGCGCACCATGGAACTTCTATTTGGATTACGTTTACATAACACGAGCAACCGACGACGTTGTATTAAATCGAGCTGCTATTAAATCTGAAATCTTTTCAAGATCGCTGCTGGATAGGCCCTTGTCTCCCATTTCCAAAATCACGACAGCGTAAGCTGCGATCCCACCGACGAGCTACAATGAAGGATTCGTTATTAACCGAGCCTTAAAGGCATTGTTATACTCTTACCGTTGCAATAAAAGCGCGATCAATGACAAAAAATCCTGCAACAGAGAACGCGATCGGCCTTAAGGTCAACCTGTTGATGTGCATGGCGATCTGCTCGGTAGTCTTTTCCTCGTTTTTTCTCAAGCTGCATTCCATTGGCAGCAGTGCATCCGACGCCTATAACCGCGATGGTTCAGTACACAATGGAATTAGTTACTTGCAGTGTAATTATGAAAATGATTGTCTCTCGGGGAATGTTACGCTCCTACCGTTTCATGTACAGCCACAAAGATTAGCGTCGACATGCTCATGAAGACCAGGATGTCCACCATGTTTTGGGCATGGCGGAATTGACCTTTATGACAGTAATTGATGAAATTCAAAATTTTAACCATGTAGAACATATAGTGAATGAATAACATAGGGCTCAGGGCGTTCTCCATCTTCATTGTCTGATCGCACAGATCAGCATGCTCGTTTACACAAGAATGTAATGACTGTCCCTTCCCTAGAGTTTTCGTCATGCGCATTTTTTGCTGACCAGTGGTCAATGTGTTGACCACTTCTGTACTGCTGCTTTAAAGCACTTTTTTTGTACTATTTAATGAACTAATTGTTTTTACTTAATTCCTGTTCGCCTAATTATTACAAAATTAAACATTTTTATGCTGTAGACTGTCCATGGGCATTGGCGTTGGCAAGGCGACATAGTCAGCACCGCTGACCTATGGTCAGCACAAGCTCACAAAAAATTCCCCTTTTTAATTGATTTTTTTCGTCGGGAAATCCCAATTTTCAGAAGGAAACTCGCACTCCTTCGGGTACCGCCCGCTGGAGGGTTAATACGGCGGAAACACAATGCCATGGCCAGACAAATTGTTCCAATCAAAAAACGCATGAGATACGTAGCCGATGAAGCCAACCAATCAGAAACCAGCATCGCGTAGCAGGTAAGCATTTTCAAAGACGACTGCTTTATGACCGGTGCAATAATGGATTCATAAAATCCGTAAATACCGTTGTCAGTTAAGGCAAAATACATTTCTTGAACGGTTAGACCGGTGCAAAATCCGGCACCCAGTACAACAAAGCACACTAGCACACATTTATCCGCCGCATGTAGTTCCTTGTGTACGAAATAATCCAGCTTGCGGATGTGGTCCACCAATTTATTGTAGATGCAGATGTAGTAAATTAGGCCGATAACGACGGCGATCATTCGCTGTAGTTGGCAGATAAAACTCACAATGGAGTCGAGCTGGAGCGTTGTCTGCGCCAGAACAGCACGTACGGTTCCGGTAGCGGCTGTAATTTGCAGCAAAATGATAAGAAGCGCCCAGAAACAGTGCATAATGCGAAACATCCAGTGCTGTTTTGTACCGTTAGTGTGGAATATACAGCCTAAACCGCTTAGCCGAAGCGCATACAGCCACAATTTTACGAGTCTTTCCAAAACCAATATTCTTCCAGTTCATGGTTTATACGCAATTTGTATAAGTACTATAAAGTAGCAAGAAAAACACTAGTATGAATTTCCGGAATTTCAGCGGTCTGTTTTGCAACAGTATGTAAGTTGTAGGAATGGTTCGATGCCTGTCGCACCATAACATTTTTAAGGCTCGACTACAGTACTTCGCTCTCTGCATGCTGCACGGTACTCCGTGTTTGCTCTTCACTTTATGCTAGTGTGTGCAGGTTGCGAGAACGGAAGCATCGGTCAGCAAAAAACTGCTTGCCTGAAACTAGTCTGTGTTACCAATCCGTAAGATGGTTGTTGTAATGCCTTGGCTCCGGATATAACTGAAACGGGCTTAATCGGGCGCAACTTAAATCGCGCAACATACCCGGGATGTTAGAACCAACCGACTCCATAATTTCTGCTTCTCAGGGTTTTCTTATTTCCAACTCAGTGAAACTTAGTTGGAGTTTGACCATTTACGGCGAAACGACAAATGATTCCGTAGAGTTTATAATAGTATTTAGCCACGAGATACAAATCTACAATCATTTATACAACCATTATTTGTATTCATTAGCCTCCGCTTTAGAGCGAAAGCAAAATTACAACGCAAGTAATTGCATAATATAGAGAAACGAGGAAATTAACGCGACCTTGCACTATAAAAACTAATAAGAACCAGTACCGTTCCATAAGAACTAATAAGAACCAGTACCATAACTGATATCTGCCGTTCGAACTACATGCTTTCAATCCCAGTTCTGCCCTCCATTTTCAGCATCCGCTCGCTCAGTCTCAAGACAAGATGCACTGTAGCCTGCGCGGTCATACCGCAGTCCAACAGTGTAACGTTGTCGATCAGCTGTGTGCCTTCAAAAATCAATCGCTGCTGATCCATGGGAATCCCTTCCTTATTCTGAATCCAACATTTAACCGGGTACACCCAGTAAGCCAGATTAACTGGCACAGTGAGAGTTTTTCCGGTCAAGGTCTTAACGAAAATGGTGGTATCGGGCAGCAACCGCGTCGGCTGGAGAAAGTTCTTCCACAATGCCGGCTTCGGTGCAATTACCTGTTGCAGCTCATCCATGGTCCAGGACGCCCCGGAAGAATGCAGGATGCGCAACAGACTGAACAGTCCGCACAGAATCATCCGACTGCCCACCTCCTTTGGTTCAGCGTGGCGGTAAATAGCCCGGACAGCATCCAGGACGGGGATCTGCTCCAGATTGACGACCGGATGGCACAGACGCTCTACAAACGCCACCTGCGTCCACAGTTTCAGCTGCGGAATTTCCCAAATCAACGCCAACTTCATGACCTCATACAGGAAGAACGGAGCCGCTCGGCGGGGATCGACTGGCAGAGATTCGTTCTTATTTACCGCCGCGTCCAGCACAGTCGCAACAACCGCTAAACTGCAGTCCAATCCGTAGGAGCCGACTTTTCCCATTTCTCCCTCGGCGAAGATGGCACGTGCTTTTGGCGACACACTGGCCAGAATCTGCCGATCCATCTCGATCTTTCCCTGTCGCGTGTTCAGCACCACGGTATCCGTTCCTTCCATGACACCCCCTTTTGCCAGGGCTGGACACTCCGGGATGGTCTGCCGAAATTTACTGAACAGCTGCCCCAGAAAACGTCGCAACGGCACACGCATGGTGACGAAACAATAGGCTTCGCGGAAGATCCCGAGTTCCTGGCAGCACTCCGAATACGTCTGACCTAGGGCCGAAATCAAACTGTCAGGATTCTGTCAGGATTCAAATGTCGAATCAAACTTGCTTCAAAATTACACAGTCCTAAGCGTGTTTAAACTAATTTCAAATAGGCAAATTAAACTGCCTAAACACAGTAAACTGCCTTTTCACTCTTTTATTCCGATTATAAATGTAGAAAATCACGGAAATACAGCCATGGGCAGCCAAGTTGGGGCAGTTGTGTTAATTAAATTACAAAATATTGTTTCCAGCAGTTTTTGATTTGATTTTGCGTACACTTAATGTAGTTTTTATGGGGAATTGAGCAATATAAAAACCGGAACTATTCGATTTGTCAGTAGCGAGCCGAGCAGTGATCCAGGGCTCGGAGTGGTGGTCACTTTTAAAGTGCTTATAACCGCCCTTCCAAAAAATTCAGCAACTGATATTTTTAAGGGGTGTTTATGGAAACTGTTCAGTGGTCCAAAAGGTACGTGTTGTAGGATGGCAAAAAAATTGTGCTCGATCAGTGCTTACTGTGCCTTTGTGCCTTTGAATCAAACTACGTCTCCCATAGCCCTGTATGCTATAAAGTGCCCGCCGAAACAAGTGGTTGCCTAGCGCGCTTGTCTGAGTAACCGCGAATTGATCTTTTTCTTGCATGAGGAATGTAATAATTTTAACAGTTTTATTGTGTCCAGGGATTTTTGTTGCATGGGCGGGAAGATGGAAGTGCCAGACTGATGAAAGAGAATTATTATAAAGCTGTGATAAAAAACAGTTATGATTGCTTTTAGAGCTTGTTGGAAAACAACGTCTGGTGTTCCTTTTGTAGTTGAACAAGCTAAAGGTGGCATTCGGTACCTTCTTACTAAGATTTTATCAAAAATGGCAATTTCGGATGTTTCGTCGCTGCTTGGCGGGCGTGCAAGTGAGGTCGCCCTCAACTTCGACAGTGCCCCTATTAAAATTCTAAGGGTCACCCAGCCGTCGCGCGAATGTGGTGTTGTCAGGTGTATTACGTAGCAGGACTAGTTAGGAAACGGTCCAGGCTTATCGTTTTTGGGGTACCACATCAACGAAATTTTTATCAAATTTTAAGTGGCAGAAAGGATTCTACGGTGGATGGGTCGGGCCGCATTTTTGAGCAGGGCTGTTCTAGTTTGACCTCACTGCAATTTGAAACATGGTCGCAGTGTTGAAACTTTAAGTTCAATAGATGCTGGACACATAGGGCAACCATCTAAAAGTTAAATAAAGATTTATTTGTTGACGACTGGCCAGAGGTAAATTTTTGTAAAAACTGCCCCAACTTGGCTGCCCAGGGCTGTAAATGGCCAGCTGACAAAAAGAAATAGATACAGTGCCATAAAACAATTTCTTTCCATTAAGTTCAAATTTTATTTTGTTGCCAATCAAATTTTTACGTTATCTCAAGAACGGCTAAAAATGTTTGCATTTGACTGACCGTTGATGTTCTTCAGTGTGTTGTTGATGAAGTCCATGTTGGTAGCATGGGTCGCCGCCATTTCAATGTGAACGATCGGGCTTCCGCGATGGTCCGGATTAATGAACGCCAGTTGCACCTCTGTTAGAATGCATTCGTCCGGAAGGCGCTCCAACTGGATCCTGGCCTGCCATGGAATCTCGAAACCACGCTTAGACTCGTCCTCGGAAGAGTGTCGTCGGTTTGTCGCCACCTTTTCCTGCACTGCAACGCACTATTGGCCATTACTCTTTTTCAAATGCTTTACATCGGATGTAGATCAGTGAACCATACTAGGATATGCAGATAACGACGAATTATAAATTTACAACAGAATAATAATTATATAGTTTCTCAGCAGTACATTCTTAAACGCATCACTAGACGATTTCCTTAAAAACGGAGATTAGACTGAAAACTCTCGTACAAGGACCCTACTACAGTATTACACGATGCGATGCGTCGCCATCAGCTACATTTGGGGGTTGATCAGACAAACAGCCGTCAAAGAACGACTTTAAAAGGTCAATACTTACGAAACACTTGCAGTCCAACGCCGTTCTCCAGCCATGCTGGCAATGGGGAAATTTCGTGGCCAGTCCGTGACACACGCACTCGCTGCAGTTTTCCCTGACCGTAATGGTTCCACATCGCGGAATGCAAGTCTTGTAAAGCCTTCTGAAAAGTGTACATGGCGCGGCACAATACGGCACCGTCATCCGTCGCGCCCGATTCCATGTTGGCCAACTGATAATGGGCGAGCAACTGCAAAAGTCCCGTTTCCAACAGGCGCTGCTCATTTAAACGGTCGGGGTGTTGTGCGTTGATGATGCGGACTTGGCGAGGGAAATGGAGCGAGATGCGGCCATCAAGGTCCAGATGGTGCTCTGTCGAATGTCGGATCGTGAAGCCATTTCCAGCTACGTCAAACCCCTTCTTCATCCTTTTGCCGTCCATTTCTTAGCGCTTGTCGATCGGACAAAACCAAAAATCTTAGCGCTTGTCGATCGGACAAAACCAAAAATCTGGAGGAACACAATCAACTAGAGACACTGTTGCAAGTGGTACAAATCCATCCAGTTTTCCATACCGATACGCTCAGTGCCAGTGGCTCACGATCAACATCTTACCTGAAGAGCTCCGGTTTCCCGTTGGATAAATACCTTACCTGCCTACCGTTCCCTGTCCGACCACAGTACGCAGAAAATTACAAAAGGCTTGAGAAGATTCCTTTGGAATAGCAGAATATTCCTTAGATCAAACCCAGCATGGAAATGAATCACGATTATTGGACTGTGGCTTATAAGCCGCTCGCTGGGTCCATAAATTTTACGTTAAACGCACGATTGCGAACAACTCGGAACGACTATTTAAACCGTTACTAACGGGTAAAGCAGGTGGAGCATGTGAGCCGGCGAATCACCGGGCTAATAAGTACCCGTACCGGTCGTACGTACTGTTGCCTGTGGGCACGTGCTTATATGGCAAGCCACACAGGACAGTTTCTAATGCGCTGACAGGTATCTTCGCAGTTACACACTGGCGAAGCCCATGTTATACGATAAGTGGCGCACCATGACCACGCCCATTGCTGCATGCGCATGAGCACAGAATAATAATTTGGGCGTCCGTAGGCGGTGACGATCGACGCATTGAGCCTATTGCTTCTGTTAGTTTTGTTCCTTTATATTTATACTAAGTAGCGGTGGTTGTTAACCACATTAGTGACGTTGCGCAAACGCGCTTCTGGTGGCAGTTGCTTGTCGCTCGTCGCTTTTATCCAGTCTGTGCTCTGTCTACCAGAGATAGAGCGCAGACTGGATAAAAGCGACGAGCGACAAGCAACTGCCACCAGAAGCGCGCTGCGCAACGTCACTATTATTGCACGAGCGCGAGCGCCAATACCACTGAGTAGTGGTACTGGGTTCGTGGAACTGGAAAAGTGAGCCGCCACTGTGAGCGGTGACGCTCTTCGTGGCGTCATTGCGTCAGACAAATTTATGCTCTTGACGATCAGTTAATTGCAGAACCTCGCGCTTCGCGCTCGGTGCAAAGAAGACGGCAGTGGCAGACTAGCAGAAAAGCAGCGACTGCCTCTGATCAGTATTTGTGATTCTGTAAAATTTTTTCAACCGAGCCCAACAACAGCAGTAAATCAAAAACAATAATTCTTACCCCGCGCAATACTGTAGAGAAAGATTATACTGTAATGTGTTAGGTCGCTTAGATTTCTTTCAGATGATATTTTGTATTTCCAGATAGTGCATTTGACCAAGTTGCTTCGCAGATACTCTATGCTTCTATTACATTCAAAATTTAATGCAGTGTTTTTTAAGCTGGCGTTGCAGAAGCCACACCTAGTATCCTTTGTTGGTTAGTTTGATGCTCTTAGACAAAGTAGTGTCAGCAGGTTTCGAAAATATAACCTGGTCTCCAAAGTTATGGTGTTTGTTGAGGATGTTGACTGCCGGTGCTGTTGGCATTGCAGTTGGAACTGCAGTTGAAGGCGCCATCAAGCGCCTGCTTATAAATCTATCATAGTACAAATTTGTTCTGCAATGTATAAGAAGTCACAATTCATCTGAGAATTTCACGTAAATCGGTGATTAAGGTAATAATAGCATGCTCTGCAAACTGAAAAAACTTTGGAAACGGAAGTACTGACTTTTTAGATTCGTTTCTGATGTTCTTAATGTTCTTAATCTACCGTAACTCAGGTAGTTGGCTCATTGTTACTGTTACATCCGCACAACCCAACTTGAGTACACGTGTAATAGAAGCAATGGTTGTTAAGAAATGCTTCTTAGTTAAAATTTTAAGCGTTCATAATACTACATGGTTTACTCTGCTTCACACATTCGGATACTTCTGCTATCCAGTGAATGCCACAACCTGCCGTTCGCGTTGCGCACGTTTCACTATTAGCATTTTAATGGCTCTCTGCGTCGCCTTCCAGCTGTGTGCTAATACCGTACGAGATATCGAATTATTTCAAGATCTACAGTCAATCAGCAGGCCGCTCTCGCAGGCCTTTCTCCTAACGCCGGCGCTGCTGACGTTCCCCATAACTCGGCTGGTTTACGCATTGCAGATATGGCGACTCGTCGGTTTTTTGCCTATTTACGCCCGACAAAACCTCGTATCCTTTGCTTCATTTGTGCGATTATCTGATGTTGCTAAAGTGTGCATACTATCCCTTTGTATCTGTACTCTGTTCCCTGGTGCGCACTTGGCTTATACAGTAACTTGTCGTACGCACCTAGAAATTTTATCAAATTTACCGGCAGGTATGCCAACCTTTAGGGCCGACCGTCAAACCTCTGGTCGCCGGCCGGTGTATGTTCTTTTTCATGCCGGTATTCGGTTATGAAGTGCTTCGCTGCATTTTGGCCGTGTTGCCCTTTATGGACGGCCTTCAGTTATCCGCAATCCACCGCTGCATCAAAACGTTATCTCTTAATGATGAGAAAGCGGCCGAAACACTCTCTAACCTTCTGCATACGCATCTGATGCTCTCTGAACGAATCCGCACATATGATCGACATCTTTCGTGGTTGAATGTGATGACCTGTAGCGTGATGAATTAGCGTGATGACCGTAATGTGTCCAAGCCTGTAGCGCTCATGGCAATCTGGTCAAGAATTAGGCACAACATAGTTCTTCCGTTTGGTATCAGTATGTTTTGGAGGCTGTCATTGATTCACTATCCCAGTAATTAGTATGACTGTATGAGTTAAAACAAGGAGCAGTCACATACTCACATTTCCTACAACCTACGATGTACAGTACAAGTACATCGCTGCTGCCGTATCACAGAGCCAGACAGTGGTACTTACCTTCTACGCAAATTGTAAGATTCTATTAATTGCAGATTGCATCGACGGTTTTCGGGTAATTCTTGCTGTTTGCTGAGTTAAACGACCACCCCAAGGAATTTAATGGACTGTCGCAACAAAACAATTTGAAATCTGCATTTAGCACTGACACATTCTGTGCGCCGGCTTTCGTTCATTCCCGTCTGGGCCGGTCTGGCAGACTGGCATCTTTCTTCAATTCGTTACGTATCGAAGTGGCTATTTTGCCGCAGTATTTGCGGCAAAATAGCCTTAGCCATAATATCTGGGTCAGAATTGGCGCAGTAGTTTGTACCGCGCCAGAATTAGCCTTATGTATTGCCGTAACGTCACACTCCAGGCGGGTGGCGGCAGCCGTACAGGGGAACAGTGAATCGAGTTTACTTTTTCCCCCTATATATGTATGAGGTACGTACAACCCTAATAAAAGGGGAGCAACTGCAAAACGATGTGTCTGAAAATGTAGGATTTTTTTGTTTTTGACTTTGTTATAAAACGGTCTGTAGTGCAGTGAGATGAATTAAAATTGCTTCTACGAAAGTTCGACACATATCCTAAATCAATGTGATGGCTGATGACGATAAAAAATGTAACTCGATGCGCAGAGGTAGATCTTCATGATATATGAAATAATACCACCTAATAATGCCTCCATTTTAGGTGGTATTTTGCCAGTATATTACTGAATGTAAGTGTACATATTTTAGCAGATCGCCTCAAAAGTTTCTGAATACGTTTCCATTCTCGTGGGACGCGGAGATCAGCGCTCACCCTTAAGAATTAACGAACTTTGTGAAACATATGACGTAAAACGTAAAAACTGGATGCCGCAAGTTAAATGCCGCAGTGGTTTGCGTAATGGATCTGACGTAAACCGCCATTAAAGTACGAGGCAAGCGGCAACTCTTTCCCACCGCTTTAGTAAATTTTATCACTTTCCCCGCTGCATCTTACCCGTGTGCAGGCGCCCACGTGATATCGTAACTATTCACCATTGTAATCAGCGCTTACTTAGCCGGCGATAAAATCTCACCTGCCGTCCTCTTCGCTATCTTCTTTATCAGTCTGCGTAATCAACTATAGCTTCAAACCGGTTTAGACGTGAAACGGCTGAAATCAAGTATCACGTGAGCGCCTGCACACGAGTAAGATGCAGCGGGGAAAGTGATAAAATTTACTAAAGCCATGGGAAAGAGTTGCCGCTTGCCTCGTACGCTTAGCAAGCCTACACTATTGACTGTGTTTCTCGTTTACGGATACGTACTGCATGGTTTTCATAACTCTTCTGTGGTCACCGTAGAGAAAATTAACCGCCAACGGCACACTGTGTAGCTGCTGACTGTTTGTTTTGCTAATCAGACATCACTATGCAATCTTCACCAAAAACATTAACTAGTTTAACCTGCAGATAGATGTTAGAAGCGCTTAGATGGCGCTTTGGCAACCTACGAATCCGTGCATGGGATTTCCTCTCTGCAGACTAGCAAAAATTAATTATAATAATTGTCACTTGATGCTTGATAGCAGCGTACGTAGGCGAGTATCACGAGTAAGTTATGGCAACCAAAATGGCATTACTAAAAAGAATTCTGGTTACACATAATTTTTTAGTGTATGGGTTCATGTACCTGTGAGGATATTTTTGCTACTCAACCGCCTCTTTATCTCACTTGCGCACGATGCGCTTCCTGATACAAAGTTGTATGGGTATCTTTATCCTTCTCCAACTATGTGGTAATCTGTTGCGTGATATCGATTCTTTTCAAGCCTTCCTATTGTCCATTGATCGGAGTGTCGCGCAAACCTTGTTATTGTCACCGGCAACTTTACTGTTTCCTATCGCCAGAGTGATGTACGCCGTACAAAATTGGCGGTTTCCTGGCTTCTTACCAGCTCACAACCATGCGCTTGTCGAGTCATTCGCGCCGTTTCTCACACTGCAAGACGTTGCTAAAATTGTTGTACTATCGGCTGGCCTCTTCACACTGTTTCCGGTTTCACATCTAATTAGTAATTTATCCGGATTTTCCGGTCGAATAGCCACTTTAACGGTCAAGTACACACCTCTCTTTGGAGCGTTTTCTAAGCCGGTGGTGGTTTGTAGTGGTTTGTTTTACGCCACGTCAGTCGCCGGTTACGAACTAATTAAGTGTGTTCTGGCACTTATTCCCTTCATGATAGGATTACGTCTGGCAGCGTTAGAAAAATGGATTTCGGCGGTCGCACTAGACCATCCTGAGTCTGTACACCTGCCAAAACTACATGAAACTCTGGAGGCCCATGTATCCTTTTCGCGTCTTATCTGCTCGCTTGATGAAAACCTCTCGTGGCTTAGCTTAGCAACTTTTGCGGAGACCCGGTTATCGGTTATGAAATATCTGCAGGACTTCTTCGACAGTATTGCGCAGGAGAAAGAGATCCCTTACGTTCGCTTGTTCTTGTACATGATTCCCGAAACAATACTGCTTG